CAACACTGAGGGTTGCGATCCGTTGCCGGACATGGAAAAAGACAAAAAAAAAAAAAGAAAGTTTAAGGAGATGAGATAAAGTAATTTTCAGCTCTAGGCTTGTCACTTTCAGGTACATGCAGATGAACTGGAAGGGTCTTCCAAAACAACTGGATATTAATAACTATTTACAGTCAAGGATGTAAGAAACTTGGAATTATCACTACATCCTAACAACAAATAAAAAACTGAATAAACTGAAAATCAACAACCTTGTAAACATTATGCTAAGTGAAAGAAGACAGTCACAAAAGGCCATATATTGCATGATTCCATGTATATGAATTGTCCATAACAGGAAAATTGATAGACACATACTGCAGATTATTGGTTGCCTAGGGCTGGTATTGGAGGGGAGGCAGGAATGGAGAATGACAGCAAATAGGTGCAGGGTAGCTTTCGGGGTGATGAAAATGTTCTAAAGTTTGACAGTGATAATGGATGCACAGTTCTGTGAATATAATAAAACCACCAACCTGTGCATTTTTAAATTAATGAATCATATCTCAATAAAACAAATTAAACAAAGAGTAAACAGAGTTTGAAATAGTAAAGAAAACTGTAACCACAAAAAAAGTGAAAATACTAGATTAATCAAACATCTAGAAATAAACATAACTGTAAAAGACCAAGATAGTTGAGTCAAGAGGAACTTCTAAAAATTGTATTTTATTTAACTTCTTATTAATTCTCCTACTATTATTCATAATTCCTCTCCTCTTGTTTCATCCATGTGGAATTGAATGCAATGTCTTGAAAGCGTTTTCCACAGAGTAAAGGAACAGAAAAATAATTTCAACACAATAAAGACCATGTTATAAAAACTAGAGTATGTTGTTATTCAGAGAGTCTGTGAAATTTTACTTCTGAAAACTTTTAAAATTGTTGTGGTAGCAATAATAATCTGATTTAAGAAGTTTAAGCAGATGAGGCCAAGTAATTTTCAGCTCTATGACTCATAAAATAAAAAGTTTTTAAAAACCAAGAATTAAAAAAAAATTACATTTCTAACATTAAGTATGAATTATCAATTGACAGAATATAATTTACCTATATTCCACTGGCATAATCTCAGCAGCAAGATTCTCATAACTTTTTGTAGCAGATGCATCTGAACAACAAAAAAATAGATTAGTGTTTCAATACAAGGGTACATCAAAAAGTTGGTGGAAAAATAGAATTAAAAGATAATATGAATCTTTCCATGAATGGTTTGAAGACCCCTTGTATTTCAACCATTAAAGAAAACTTTTATAAATCTAAAAAAATCTACCTGTTTGGTTTAGATGATCTTGTTGTACTTGTGAACATCGAAGCTCTTCATTTGTTTCTTTCAGAGTATCACGCTGCTCTATTAATCTCTAAAAAGGAATCGTGGATATCAGCAAAGTAATTCTGCCCATAAGAAATGTACTTTATGTTTACAATAACTTAACAAGTTAGTTTGATAACTGTTGCTTAATTAAAAATGACAATGTTTTAATTTAAGGGCTCACTTTCTTTTGCAAAGTCACATAAATAATAGTCTTTATACAACATAGGACTTATGTTTTCTCCATCAGATAGTTTATCTTTGAACCTAATGAAGGCAATTATGTAGTAGAGTACAAATATGCACCTGTATGGTAGGTAATAAAAAGAGCATGGACTTTTAAGCAAACAGACCATGGTTTGAATTCCAGTTTTACTCCTTCCTAGCTATATTATCTTGGGCAAGTTATTTAACTCTTTGGCTTCAGTATCCTTTAACTCTTTGGAATACTAATACATAAACCCTTGCAAAGGTGTTCTGAGTAAAAACTGAGGGAAAATTAATCAAGTATCCACAATATAGTCTGGTGTATAAGAGATGCTGAAGACTAATTATTTCTTTTTACCATCGTTGTGAAATTCTACTGGAAGAAGTAATAAGTTGCATTCTAGAAGTATGAATTTGTAGAAACACATCATTTCAAAAGGACAGCACGATAATACTTTGTATCATGGACTATTTCATTTTAACATCTACAGCCAATGACAAATTTCTAAGTTCTGTACAAAAGGCTCATGTTAAATTATTTTCCCAGAACTTGAAAAGTACTTCTGAATACTTATTTTAAATATTATATCCCAAATCAACAAACCCTATTTTAGTCCATTATGTGGTTCAAATCAATCTAACAGTAAATTTATAACAGACTCAAGGAGTCCTTAGATTGGAGTCCGCACATGCCTTACAGATCTATGAACCCAATAAATTATAACTAGAAGCAGGCATGAGGACCTCTGTAAATTCACTCCTCCCTAAATGCAATGCAAACCCCAGCAAATTTGTCAATATCAACTTTTTCAGAAAGCTGGAAATGAACCATAGGCCTACAAAAACCTTAGGAACATTTATTAAAGTAATCTGTGGTTGGAACAGCACGATTTTTGCTCTTTTAACTTGCCTTACTACTATCTCCCTCTCTCCCAAGCTCTGGAGTAGACTTGAAAACCAGCAGCTTCTCAATCACTGTAGCCTTGAAAACCAGTAGCTTTAGCAGACATGGGAAGAGGCAGATTGGATATGGAGCTCACCCTAAAAAGCCCCACCCTCAGAGAATTGTCACTATTTGACCTGTCTTGCAGCTCTCAGGAGAACCCATTTACAGTAACTTTTCAATATTTGACCTGATTTGGTGCTTCCTCTGCAGGGAAAGACCTGTTCCCAAGGCATTTGTCAAAAACAATCATCAGCAATTGTGCACCACCACAGCTGCTGGAGGCTGTGATACCTCTCGGGACAAACAAAACACTGGCCAAAAACATACAAAGGAACAAGATGCCCATATGGGTCTTTGAAAAGCTCTGACATCTTCCTGGAGATCTAGGAAGCCAACCATGTACAGGTCTGTGCACATGCCCACAAAAGACATGAGAGGGTCCCAATGTGTCTGCTAAGGATAAATTTGAAGCCTTGTGCAAAGAGAAAATGAAAGCACAGACAGAGTTTTAAACTGCCTGAACAATGAAGGTATTTTCCAACACACACACTGAGTCCTGTTGCAAAGGCTGGCATAGTATATGGTTCAACATATCTATGACAATCTCCGGCCAAAAATTAACTAACCACAATAACAACTGAGCAGAGACTTCAGTGGCTACACATTACAAAAAAAAAAATCCTAGGCTTTACAGAATTAGTCCAAAAAAGTCACTAAAAAGGAACAAACAAAACCAACAACAACAAACACTGAGGTTGGGAGAAATCTGGATTCCAGATTTGAAATATTATTTTGAATGTAAGGTTTTCAACAAAAAATACAAAAAACACAAAGAAACAGGATAGTCCACACACACACACTCACATATGCAAGCCAATGATGTGACCTGGTGGGTGGTCACACTAGACAAAAACTTTAAGTGAGCTATTATAAATATGTTCAAGGAAGTAAAGTAAATCATGTGTGAAGAATTTAAAGAAATTATGATAATGTCTCACCACAGTGTAAGAGAAATTATAAAAAAGAACCAACTAGAAACCCTGGAATTGAAAAATACAATAAATGAAATTTTAAAAATATACGGAATGGACTTAGCACAAGATTTGAACAAGAAAAGAACCAGGGAAATTGAAAATAAGTCAATTAAAATTATCCAGTATGAGAAACAAAAGAGAAAAAATGAAGAGAGTCTCACAGACCTGTAGGACACCATCAAGTGTACCAATATACATAGAATAGGAAACTCAGGAAGAGAGTAGATAAAAAGAAAAAAATATTTGAGGAAAAATGACTAAAAACTTCCCCAATTTTATGAAAAACATTAATCTACAGATCCAAGAAGTTCAATAAACTGAAAGTACAATAAATTCAAAGAGATCCACACTTAGACACATCAGAGTCAAACTGTTTAAAGCCCAGGACAAAGAGAGAATCTTGAAAACAGTAAGAGAAAAATCATTCATGACATAAAAAGGACCCTCAAAAAGATTAACAGCTGACTTATGTTCTGGAGGCCAGGACATAGTGAGAGAACAAAAAATGATAAAAGAAAAAAAAAAATCCTGTCAAACAAGAATTTTATATCTTCAAATATGAAGGATACATTGAATTTTTTTTCTAAATTAAAAAAAAAGCAAACAAAAGAAAACAAAATTTGTCACTGGCAGATCAGCTCTACAAGAAAAACTAAAAGGAGTACATTGGGCTAAAGTAAAAGAATCCTGGAGACTAATTTGAATCCAGACAAAGAAGAGCACCAGCAGAGGTAACTATATACATAAATATATGACACAAATGTATTTTTTTAACTCTCTTGTTCTTCAATCTGATATAAAAGACAAGAACATAAAGAAGTAATTATAAAACTGGGTTGAGTTTATAATGTATTAAAATGTAATTTGCATGACAATAATAGCACAAAATGGGGGGAGGACTCTATTTTGGAGCAAAGTTTTCAGTACACTATGGAAATTAAGTTACAATCTCACCCAATAGGTTGTTTCAAGTTAATATGCTAATTGTAACCCCTATAACAAGCATTAAAAAATAATAGCAAAAGAAGCAAGGGAATTAAAATAGCACGTTAGGAAATATCATAAAAGAAGGCAGCAGTAGAGAAACAGAGCATCAAAAAAGACTTATAGAAAAAGAAATAGCAAAATTACAGACCTAAGTGCTATCAACAGTAATGACATTAGATGTAAATGACCAAAAGCTCCAGTAAAAAGGCAAATATTGGCAGAATGTATACAAAATATGATCCAACTAAATGCTAGGTAGAAAAGACAGACTTTAATATCAAAGACACAAACGGTTTGAAAATACAAGGATAAAAAAAAATGCAAACAGTAACCAAAACAGAGTCATAGGGCTACACTAATATCAAACAAAAAAGACTCTAAGACAAATATTGTTACTAGAGAAAATAAGGACATTCTATAATAAAGGAGTCAATTCATCAGTAAAATATAAAAATTATAAACATACATGAACCTAACAACACAGCCCCAAAATACAGGAAGAAAAAAAACTGACAGAATTGAAGAGAGAAAGAAACAACACAATAATAACAATTGGAGATTTTGACATCCCACTTTCAATAACTGGACAACTACATAAAAAAAAAAGTCAACATGGAAACAGAAGACTTGAACAATGCTATAAACCAAGAAGACCGTATAGTCATATAGAACACTGCACCCAAAACAGTAGAATATGCATTCTTTTTCAATACACATGGAACATTCTCCAGGATAAACATATAGTAGGCCACAAAACTAGCCTCTGAAAGTGTAAAAGGATTAAAATCATATAAAATTAAATGTGAAATCAATAATAGAAGAAAATTTGGGATATTCACAAATAGTTGAAAACTGAATAAGACACTCCTAAGTAACTAATGGGTCAAAGAAGAAATCATAAGGGAAATTAAAAATAAACCGAAGCAAGATGGAGCGGGCGTGCCAGAAGACAGAGCAAGCTTGAGAAGTGTGCGCTGTGCTGCCAGAGTACTATTTGCATTTCCAAGAGCAACAAAAAACAAATAAATCACTGATCAACTAATCTACAATGAAAAAAAGCAACTACAGTCTCGAGGTTTTAGGGCCGATACAAAAGGAGATTCCTGAGAGCGTCCCAACCGCGCCGGGAGACCGCCGGGAGACCGAGCGAGCAGCCCGAGGCAACAAAGGCCAGGAAAGACGGCAGCGGCGACGCAGAGATGGAGAGGAAGGCGCTGGACCGGCCCAGCTCTGGGAGCTCTGTGAGTGACCCCCAGCCCAGCCCCACCTGTGGGGCAAACGACTGCCCAGCTCCCGCCTACCACACCAGGCTAGGCGCCGGCACCACCACTGCCTCCATTTTCTCCAGTGGGGGCGGAGCCAGCTGGCTCAGATCGGGCAGACCAGCCATCTTCGCTTGGCGCGGCTTCTCACTGAACCGTGCCATTTGTGTGCCTTAGCGCTGGGCCCCCCGGGGCCTGTGGACCGGCCACCAATCCCACTCCACCCGCGGGTCTCTGGCGGGGCTGGTGGCGTGGGGAGCCCCCGGCCAGCATCGGGAGGGCAGGGAAGAGGNCTGAGGGCGCCGAGCCGGCTCACACTGTAGGGAGTCAAAGAGGAACTGTGTGCTGTGGGATCCTCCCCTGGGGGCTCGCGCCCTGGTGTGGGAGATAACTCAACCACACAGGGGGCCGCAACACCGGGGTGACAGTGGGAGGCCCAGAGAGGGCCTTGACCAGGGCCGCAGGAACGCCCACAGTGTCCGTGGCGGAGGCCTGAGACCCCTTCTGGGCCGGGCAGGGCTGAGAGACGAGGATTGCAGAAGACACGCCCCAGCCATGTACTGAGCGTACAGAGAGGGGAGGGGTCTGGCAAAGGAGGAGGAGTCTCAGAAAAAAAGATGCACCCTCCGGGTGGCCCCACCGAGTGCACACAGAGAGGGGAAACGCCTGGATAGCGAGGGGGAGACTTACAGATCTCATACACCCTGTCGGGCCAGCAGGACAGGATCCAGCTGCCAGGGCCAGAACACAAGGAACAGGGAGAACTCCCAGAGCTGACCACAGAGGAAGCTTCCGGAAAGGCCCAAGACCCGACGCAAACACACACAAAGAACACTAAGGGCCATCTGAGCAGTCACAGAGGTAGGCACACCAAATTGACAAACACAGCCATTCCTTAGTCAGTCAGAGGGTCAAACCTGTGCACAGTGAAACTCCCTGCCAAAATGAGTAAACATCCAAAAAAAGATACCAGAAATGCAAAAACCAAGAAAGTACACCACTAAAAGTTAATAAAGCTCAAACTCTAGATCCAATAGAACAAGAAGCCCTTGAAAAGAATGACAAGGAATTTCGAGTGATAATCCTAAAGAAACTGAATGAGATACAAGAAAACTCAGCTAGACAGCATGAAGAAATAAAGAAAAATATACAGAACCTGAGAGAGGAAGTGTACAAGGAAATCAAAGTCCTAAAAAAAAAATGTAGCAGAACTTACAGAACTGACATTCCTCTCAGAAATGGAAAGAACTCTCTGTACACTTGTATGGAATAACAAAAGACCACGCATAGCCAAAGCAATGCTGAGCAAAAAAAATA